GCTCTTCTAGGGGGTAGTTAGAAATTCCACTTTAAACGAAACCGCGGCCGGAGCGGATCCGGAAGTTTCGACGCTTGAGTAGCCCCAGCACTCTGGGAGATAGAGTCGCCTTCTCTATCTAGGGAGTGCGCGGGAGACCAGGCTGATGAACTTCGGCTTAGGTAGCCCTTTGCGCGCGGCATGACTGATGCTTAACGCAGACCCGGCCACTTGGAATGGACAAGCGGGGAGCGAGGTTGTCTTCGCCCTTCGGGGCTGGGCTACCTCTACACCAAGGCAGCAGCAGTAACACAACCCTGTCGTATGCGGAGGTGCGTCAGCTCTCATCTTGAGAATCAAAACGTCCGATAAGGCCGAATAGGCTAGGTGCGGACGTTAAAGATCCTCAGAGTCCTTTTTAGGATGACCGAGTACGGGAGCCCAAATGTACATCATAAAACGTTATTTTTGCATCAACCCAATATATCATTCTAGGACTCGATTAAGAATCTTGTTGGTAGAGGGTCTGTTTTAATAATTTTTTAAGTGAGACCACCTGAATCCATTGTTATTTGCTTCTCGATCTTGTATAATTTGTATAAATTCCCTAGTTCTACTAGTTACTTGAAGGAGTATGCTTTCTAGAAAATATTCGCTAGGAGAGTTTTTGTGTTGTATTCGTTGGATTTCAAGATTGAAAGTATTCAAATGGCCTAGTGTCGATAACCTGCTTCAGAACCGGCCTGTTTCCACCAAGAAATCCTCTAAAAAATAAAAATAGCAAATATCCTATATAGATTTTTCCAATCGAAATAATACAAGAAAATACAAGATCTTGCTCCTGAAGAGTACAAACAAAAGCCCGCTTTCATAATATGGCTAGACGGGTAGAAAAAAGTCAAAACAAAATAAATCGATTTCAATTTCACTTCTAACCGGCCGCAGCCGGTAGCACCACGATTACATTGACCAAACGGTGTCAAGGGTTAGTGAAAAGAAATTTGCGGTCCGAGTTTTGACATTCTCTCATTCTTTCACCCGTCTTTCTTCATTAAAAGCTTTCGTTCTATAAATAAATTCAATCGAAGTACTTGATATTTAAATTTGGTTAACTAATTAAATGATCGACAATAAACAACGAAGGGGCGTCGGTGGCCGCAACGGTTTAGGCGTTGACACGTCGCTCATCACTGTAAGCTGAAGGTCCCGGGTTCGAATCCAGCGGCCCCGACATACTTACAAATGGGCTTTTTTTTCAAAAACACCGTCACCCCGAGGGTTGCTGTTGCGAACCCTCTTTTAAAAAAAAATAAATAAACAACGAACGAAAAGTAGAAAATTACAAGTAACAATTAAATAGCGTAAGCGTTCGTGTAAACTTGAATTAAGCCACGTTAATTACACAAATTTAAGAGAAAATATTAATTTCACTAATTTCGTGGTCCGCTTGACCAATTAATATATTACAATTAATTAAGGTTTTTAGTTTAGATAAAAAAATTGAAAAATGGCAAAAAGGAGGGAAAATTCAAAAGGTGGGGTTGAGATGGGAAGTTAGTGTCCGAGTGGATCGAAGTCACGATAGCTCAAGTGGTAGAGCATCGGCGTATCAAGCCGAAGATAGTGGGTTCGAATCCCGCTCGTGCCATTGTCTTTTTTTATCTCCACTAAAAACCTTTAATTAATTGGAAAATATTAATTTTATATAAGAGTAAACCTTTAATATAAATACGAAACACGAAGAGGAAACTATCTACCTTTTTTTCAAACAGAAAAAATGTTTTTAAAATAATAAACTATAAGTTAGAATAAGAAACTAGTCTTGTAGTATCAAAATTTTAATTCTACAGATAGACTAAAATTCAATCTGGATCGATTTGAATGAAACTTATTTTCATTAGTTTTTCGAATGTTGTCTAATTTTCGACTCATTCCTGGCTCTGGAATTTCCTTTTTCTAGTAGTTTCTATCGAGTTGATGGTAATAAATTTAAAACCTGTTCGAGAACGAAAGTTAAAATCCGCACGAGGCATGTCCTAAATTAATTCATTTGAATATATTTTCATCAGATGAAACGATTATATTAAAAAGTCTATAATTTAAATTAATTTTTTTTAAAAAGAGTCGTGAAACATGACAGAATCGTTAGTCAAACAGGTTAGGCCCGATATTTGTTCCATTTTAGTGCCGCTATCAGTTTTTCCAACCGCTCCAGCTCAGTGCTCTCTGTCAAGATGAAAACTTCACGATATGAGAAAAACCTCCTGTTTGACAGTCTTAAAATCAAAAAAGGTCAAAACCTTGACTTCAAGCTGCAAAAATTCTCGTCGATCTAATCGTTGTCAAGTTACACATCCAAGGTCTTCAAAGAACAGACTTAACTGACGTAAATAAAATTAAACTAAATAAAGATAGTTCATTTGATTCATTGATTGATTTATTGATAGTTCAAGATAATTCATTTGATCGTAATGAACATAAAATTTTATCAGTGATTTCTTTAAAATAAATAAATAACAATAAACTTTATAGAGTTAACAGTGGAAAAAAGCATCGGCTATTCAAGCACTGGATCCCATTACAACTTGGTTAATAATTAAGCAGTTTACGCTCAACAGCAGTACAGATAAGAACTTATCACAAGTTGTTAAATAATTAACTCGACCAATATTTCACCTACATTGTGCCGACATTCCTATTGTTTCATCTCATTCCTTTCTTGATGTTGTACGAAAGTACAATTTCAACTAATTGTTTCTTGTGGAAATGAATGCCAGAATAAGAGGCAATTATCGTTTGAAACGCGGGAAAAAGGCTATCGGAAGGGGAATTGTGCTAATGTGTTACGTTTCGGATAGGGCCTGGAAGCGATGGGAAACTGGGGCGACCTTATTCTTTTCTTCTAGGTTATACATAATTCCCCCCCCCCCCAAGATATCTCAACCAATTAGACGACTTTTATGAGATACGTAGCAGAGAAAGAGAAAGAGAAAGAGAAAGAGAAAGAGAGAGAGAGAGAGAGAGAGAGAGAGAGAGAGAGAG